GGGAGGGAGGGAGGGAGGGAGGGGGGAGACTTCATATCCGGACACAACTTTTCAAATTAATAGGGAATAGGAGTTTAGATAAAAAAATTTAAACTCTAAATATAAACAAATGGCTGTGGTCTGAGTTTGAACTCTAAGTTAAATGTCCGATAATTGTGCTATACTTTTTTTTTGCATATAATTCTTTGTTGAGCTTAATTTAGGTGTTTTGAGGTATATTTGACTACTTAATTTAGCGTTTATAGCTTTAATATAAGCTACAGAATAATAAATCACCTGTACCTTATATCTACTAATAAGTGTTTTATTTCCTTTGTTAAAGTTGGGGCTATTGTTTTGCTATACAGCTATTTTTATTGTCAATTTTTCCTACTAATATCGATTATATGTTTAATTTTCCTCTTAAATATCTTGAATATATGTAGACCTATGTCTGATGAGCTTTAAAAGTGCTATACAAATAAACCCGCCATTCATTTTCTGTGTACAGATCCAGACGCTTTACTAAATACAGTGGCTGTATTTTTCACATAATTACCTACAATTTAGTAGTGAATCATCGGGTCATTTATTTTGAAGGGCCGGAGGTCTGATTTCCTGATTGGGCCTGGTTCTCTCTGGCTGACTTGACTGTGGCTGGTGCAGACCCTAATGGGAGTAGGATGGAGTGGAAGCTGCAGTGCGCGCACCAGTGTCAGGTTGTTGTACTGCAGTCGGGCTCATAGACAGACAGACCTGGTGCCACCGGGGCGATGGAGGGTACAACATCCCCCACCACCACCACCGCCACCCCGACCACCACTGAGGAGTGACACTCTGTTTGACCTTCAGATTGGCACAGCAGAGCCTCTCAGACACCATCATACAGACTCAAGTAGTATAAGCCTTCAGTGCTCACTCATATCAGCAGTGATCATGTTACCTACCCCTTCCCAAGAGCAGCTCCTGTTGCAAACCTCTAAGATTACTGCTTGCATATTCTATTTCCTCATCATGATCAGCATATTTCAATTCTGTCTCATTTGAGAGATTGGAGAAACCAGATAGCTTATATCGAATTTTTTTTTTATCTTGGTTGATAAACTCAGTGCTGTTGGGAATATGTCGACACAGACGAAACAAACTTTTTTTTAGAGGACACTGGGGATTCACGTTAGGCTGTGTCACTGCTCGGATCCTCATCTCAGATAGATGTATGACGTTAACATTTATATAACGTATAACATTTTATATCTATCTATTATTCAGAACTGGGTGGTTTCTTAACTACACAGCACACAGAAAAGGGCATATCTATCTTGTAGGGCATTGGTTTGATTGTAATCACCGTTTGAGTAAAACTTACAGTGTTTATATAATCATGGGGGGTGTGTGTGTGTGTGTGTGAAACTATCACTGTGTGATTGTTTGCAGCTGCTCTGGTTTGTGGTTAGGGTTAGATGTCACGGCATGTAAAGGTGACATTAAGGTTAGGGTTAATCCTCAGTAAACAATATTGCAATGCCTGCAAAAACAAGCGTGTCAGGTAGAAAAAAAAGAATGAAAGCTTTTTGCTTTTTTAATGGCTATTTATGGTTCTAAAGAAAGTTTTAAAAGAAGATCATCTCAATACCTAAAGCCTAAAGTTAAACTAAATCTCTGTGCAAGGTTAGATCCGTGTTGTAAGAGCAATTACACCATAACAGCAAAAACAAAAATGTAGAAAACATATAGCAGAACTAGGAGTAAATTAAAGAGTAGTATAAGAGAGCAGTGAGTTGTCATTACGTACAATTTATTGGATGAGTATGAGCACTGAACACCCGCCTTCTTTAATGCAGTTTACAACTCTGCACGTCAGCTTTTTGAGAAGTCGATTATTATACACTGTACAAAGGAAATAATTTTGGTGCAAAGCCTATCCATTTATGTGTGTAAATAGTGCACCTGAGTGGAGAAGTCATCAGTTAATTATAAACCTCTGCCATAAAGGCCGGACATATTCCCGCTCAGCAGTCTTCCTGTGGAGACCTGCTTATTCAGTAATTCACTGTCATGGTTCAGATTACCTGACATTCATTTTAATTTGAGCTGGCCAGCTTTATACGTCAGAGAAGTTCATTAATTTTAAACTGACTAAACAAAGACACATTCACATTTTCATGTCAGTACTCTTTTGCTGTAGAATATTAGTGCAATCGTTTTCATTTGAGTATGCATAAACATCCATTTAATCTTCATAAACTGACCTCAGTCATGGTCAAGTATGTTTCCAAACAAAAGTAAAGGAACAAGAATCCAAGGGCTGTGTGTGTTAGTGTGTGTGAATGCTGAGAAACTGTAAGCAGGTTTTCAGTTCGTCCTTGAACATGTTATTTACTGTACCACTCTCTTTGAACTGCTGTATATGGATGTTTTCCTACCACCCTTTTTCAGTCTCACTTGAGAATTAAGCCTCTAAATCTAATTCATAATACCCATAGGCTTTTCATTTGTTGTTGCTTCTCCATCCATCTTTGAAAAATACCCAGCGTGCCTCTGAGAGGTCTCACTCCGGTGGTGAGGAGCTGAATCACAATAACAATCCCCACCTATATTTGGTACACACATATTTTCCAGTCTTACTAAGGGGTCTTGACTCCTATAGGTGGTGCAGTAGTGCCATCATGTGGTACAAAGGCCACAGTGCGCAGGCTGTGAGAGGGGCGGGGATAAACCAGTCTGAGGCATTCCCCTGGTAGTGTAGATGTTAGTTCAAAGAGATAATATGAGTCAGAAGACCTTTCTGTGTAGCTTCATCAACCAGGAAAATTACTCATGGTTCAAATAGTCACATAATTGTCGTTTGCCCGCAAAACACCAACTGTACATGCACTGATGCAGAGACACACCTGCCTCTCCAACCTTCCCAACCACACACACAGCAGAATGTGTCAGTCAGCTGCGATAGCATCATCAGTGTTGTTCAGGTCGATCACTTCTGACCTTTTTGTCTTTGCTGATCTTTTCAGATTGAGACACTGTGGAAGATTTTCTCAAGGAGAACATGTGAACTCTATTCACCTGAAGGAAATGCTAGAGTGGAATGACACAGAAGCAATATGGAGGGGATATGGAGCATCAAATGTGTTCTACTGCAGCACATATGCAAGCCTGATAATCAGACTGAACTGGCTATTTTGTTGGAAAAATAAATAAAAAATCAGAGATGTGGGCAACGATTCAGAGGTCATACTGTCACTTTTCATGTCACGATATGCATCTAATGCTATGAAACAGAAACAAAATGGAACAGAATAATTAAAATATCATTAGAGTGCCATTAGAATATCATTACCATATTAATTTGTAACACTTGGGAAAGACTGCGTTGCATCAGCACGCCACTTGTTAAAATGTATTCTGTACTACAATACATTTCAAGAAATGCATGACACATTTTAATGAAGAAATATATTAAATGTAGTCTAAGATCTTAGATTCATCAGATGCAACTGCAACGTCCCTACTTAAATTCTGGCCAGGGAGCTTTGTGGTTGAAGAGCCTTTTGGGGATTGTAACATCAGAATTCAAAAGACATGGTTAGCACTGCAAGATCTTGCAAGCTTGTACTCTTTACACAAAACAATTCCTGGAGTTGGGGAATTAGTTCAAGGTTCAGTACCTGGAGGAATGGCAGTAGATTGGAATATTAAGTATAATCCAACTGTTAATATTGTAAGATTGATTACTGTGTGGGGCACTGGCATTGAGATAAACTGTAGTGTTAGAAAATGTAGTATTTTGAATGTCTACATGGCATTTGTAGCTTATCAAAATGAGGATGAATTACTGGCTTCTATAAATTATTTCACTGAGGATATGACAACCTGCATTTATGTCATTTGCAGAAACCTCAGCCAATAATTTGTTGTCTATTCAGTAAAGTAAATTACCTGTAAACAGTTTTACACAGTGAAGCTACATAGTATTGGCTTGACTTGCTCTCCTATATAACATAGAGATTTACAGTATTACAGGATGGCTACTACAGACCATATGATTATTGCTATGATGTGTTTTAATGTGTTTGATTGTTACTTGCATTATTTATTGAACAATAGCAAAAGTGTAAGGCTTGATTATTCTGGCCTTAGTGGAAAAACAATGTAAATATGGTATGTAAAATATACAGTATTATACATAATGGGAATAAGCATTTCAAAAGTATTGTACTGTATGTGCTAGAGTCAAAATGAAAAGAAATTAGAATATAACAAGGCCTGATTTACTAATTAAAAGTTATAATGAATTTTTGAATGAGGTCAGAACCAATAGAACAACTTTAACCTCTAATACTGATGAAATAAGTGGCACCGATGAAATTGTTAATCTACGGCCGAAGCTTTATGATTTATTAATCGTGTGCAAAGCAGAAAGTTGAGCCTGCTGTTAATGATGTTGACTTCATAGCGAGGTCTTATGAGCTATGTGAAACATGGGCATCAAGGGTGGTTGCCCATGGAAACCTCTGTCCATCCTAAAAAAAAGTAGAGGGTGAACCCTTTTTTTATTGTATTTATAAAACGCATAGTTACATGTCTACATATATACACTAGAGAGAAGATACTTTACACAATACAGTGGATAAACACTGAATGAAATGTACATGGGGATTAGGAGATATATAGTGTATTGGATTAGAATCTCTGACTGCACCTTTAACTGATGCACCCTTGTGAGAGCTTTTGAAGTTTGGCCTAAAGCATGAACTAATATGAAGATAAATCAGCTCAGTGCCTTGTATGTCTTCTTCTACACAAGAAAGCAGAGAACAAACACCTGCTTCAGGGTGAGACAGCTCGCTCTGTTATTGCCTCTTTAATGTTTATTGCTGGTTTAATGAGAAAAGCAACTGTTTGTGTTTCTGT